CTGGGCTATGAAATCGGTGCTGGAAAAAGAACTTTAGGACAAGCCCGGAAGGAGGCGATCTGCCAGACTCCGAGGCCACAGACAGTGAAAGAACTGCGAACATTCCTGGGAATGACTGGGTGGTGCAGACTATGGATTTATAATTATGGATTGCTTGTTAAACCTTTATATGCATTAACCGCCACTCAACAGAAAAATCTCCAATGGAATAAGGAGGCTATACGAGTCTTTGACCTGTTAAAAAGGCTCTGATGTCAGCTTTGGCTTTGGGACTCCCAGATGTAAGTAAGCCATTCTTTCTCTTCTCACATGAGAAACAGGGAATTGCATTGAGAATACTGGTACAAGAACTAGGCCCGTATCGTCGGGCAGTCGCCTATTTCTCCAAGCAACTAGATACAACTGCTAAAGGTTGGCCTGAATGCCTACGAGCGGTTGCAGCAGTGATCCTAAATATACAAGAGGCATGAAAATTCACTTTAGGCCAGAAAATGACTGTATTTGTATCTCACACAGTGTCTGCAGTATTAGAAATTAAAGAGGGACATTGGCTTTCGCCCCAAAGGTTCTTAAAATATCAGGGAGCATTAGTAGACCAAGATGATGTGGAGATTATAGTAACTAACATTATTAACCCAGCTTCTTTCCTGAGTGGAAACAGGAGAACCAGTGCAACATGATTGCCTGGAGACCATCGAGGCAACATACTCAAGCCGTACAAACCTGAAGGATGCCCCTCTGGAAGATGCTGGAAGATGCTGAGAACTGGTTTACAGATGGGAGCAGCTATGTTTTGAGCGGCAAGAGGTATGCTGGGTATGCTGTTACTACCACCCAAGAAATACTGGAATCAGGACCACTGCCTGCAAATACCTCTGCACAAAAGGCAGAGATAATAGCACTGACTCGTGCTTTAGGATTAGCCCAAGGCAAGACAGTGAATATTTACACAGACTCGAAGTATGCCTTTGGGGTAGTCCATGCTCATGGAGCAATCTGGAAGGAAAGAGGACTGTTGAACTCACAAGGGAAACACATCAAACATGGGAAGGAAATTCTGGAACTGCTAGAAGCTGTACAACTTCCAAGAAGAGTGGCAATCATGCATGTTAAGGCCCACCAAAAGGTGAACTCAGATTTGGAAAAAGGAAATGAACTGGTGGACAGAGAGGCAAAACAAGCAGCCAAAAGAGAGGTAAAAATAGAGAGAGTTTTAGTTCCTGATGGGCAAATCATCCCAGAAGGTAAGCCTAATTATACTAAAGAGGATCAAAAGTTAATTACAGACCTGGAAGGATCATATAATGAAGAAGGTTGGGCCATCACTCTCCAAGGGAAGGTAGTAATTCCCTCTTGTTTAACTAGACACCTGGTACGAGAGGAACACAAGAAAGGGCACTGGGGAGCGGAGGCCCTATACTGGTATTTCGTCAAGAGTATTAGAGCTAGAAATCTGTATACCATAGTAAGACAGGTGACTCGACAGTGTAACCTTTGCCTCCAGACTAATCCTAAGAATACCCCCATTCTAGAAGTAGGCCAGATTGGAAAAGAAATGGGCTGGGATAACAACGGCAAATCGATTTTTCAGAATTTCCAAGAAAAGGGGGGGGTATCAATATTTACTAGTATTAACGGATACCTTTTCAGGCTGGCCAGAAGCATTCCCCACTAGATCTGCCAAAGCCCAGGAAGTGACAAAAATATTAGTACAAGAAATAATTCCACGCTTTGGGGTCCCAGAAACTATATCCTCAGATAGAGGACCACACTTTATCTCGAAAGTAGTTCAGCAAATCAGTCGCCATCCAGGTATAGACTGGCATCTTCACATTCCTTATCGTCCCCAATCTAGTGGCCAGGTAGAAAAGATGAACCATTTGATTAAACAGCAAATAGTGAAACTTGGACAAGAGTCAAACCTGACCTGGCCCCAGGCTCTCCCTCTGGCACTTTTGCGCATACGAGAAAAACCGAGGGCCAGGGAAGGGTTGAGCCCTTTTGAAATGTTATATGGCAGACCTTACGCAGTACAGAAAGGAACATCAATACAAGTTGGGGAGGAAACTATGACTTCATACATGATAGCATTAAGTAAACAACTCAATAAAATTGGGAAACATGTATTTGGAACTCGGGGTAGAGGGTTAGATGGGCCAGTACATAACATTCAGCCTGGAGACTATGTGTATGTTAAGTCTCTTACAGAAAAGACGTTGGAATCACAATGGGAAGGGCCGTTTCAAGTGCTACTCACAACGTTTACGGCCATCAAGATTACTCAGCCCGGATTCATCACACCCGAGTAAAGAGGGCCCACAAATCCCCATGAAAGGTTACACAGACTCAGCGTGGAAGACTACGCTTCTCACGATAAGTCTAATAATCTCCTTTCCCCAGATACCTGGTCAAAGGTTCGTTAAATGGCCATGGTCCCAAGCGTACATTGGGTATACTGGAAGCATGGGTATAACCAATAACTCAACCTTGACTTTAGCTACTGTAGTGATGCGGGGAATAGAGGTGTATACAAAAACTGAATGGAAAGACGTCAATGGAGTACCACAATTATGGGGGACGGTAGGGCAAGAGATTAGAGTAGGGTGTCAAGTAATGAATGAAATCACCCATTGGTCAGTGCGTCAGATTACAGTATCTGAGATCAAGATCTTAAATCCCAAATATATCGTGTCAAGTATTGGTCATATATGTGATCCAAAAGGTCTGGAATGCTGGTATAATTTTACTTTGACTCAACCTGCGGTCTCTGTGACATGTCTCTGGACTAAGGATAAACTAGGGCTATCCTTTAAGTTTAACATGGTAACAACTCTAGTGACATCCACAACTGAAAGCACGGTGACCATGACAACCACAGCAATCACTGTAAATCTTACACCCAACATATACGAGGTCGGCCCATACGTGATCAGACACCTAGACCAACAGCAAGTGCTGATCGATCCAAAATGGTCTCTAAAAAAGTAGAATTACAGATGCAAGTTAACATTTCTAATACAGAGCCACGTTGTTTCCCCTTCTTACGAACCTCAGATGAAGGATGGACAACTTGGCTAAGGAAAAAGGAAATGCCTACCAGAAAAGACCACAGAGGGACCTAACCGGAGTATTAGGAACCGAACTGGAAGTGTTAAATTCAATAGATTCAGAAGTAATAACGAACAAATTAGCAGCTACTGCAAGGGATATATCAAAATTACAACAGCCATTGAGGTCTTCACTATCAACATTAGGGGTACATCAATGGGCAATGTCAAAAGTAATGCCACATTGGGAGCAAAAAGAAACAAAGGACCACACACTTATTGCTGAAACCTTGGGAGCGTTACAAGGTGATATCGCCATAGCTCTAAGTTACATACAAGCCCAGTTATGGATGCAAACAGTAGCAGAATCTGTAATAAGGGAAGGAGAGGAGGGTACGCTTCCCACTGAAATTCGAAAAATAATTTGGGATAATGCCACAGAGACAAAGTTACAGTCATGGTGGAATATGGTCAACTTCACCAATAGGCCTGACACGCATACAGTAACGACTTTTGTGTTAACAATATATGATGCAAAATTAATCACCATACACCCCATTGTAAGTCTTGGAGTCAATTACAACGGGACTCTGCTGTACCCCTTTGAACATAAGACCTGAGCTATGAATACTGGTAATAAATGGCAAGCAGTAGATCTCGAACCCTGTATCATAAAAGAACAACAGGGATTTATATGTGAAAGTAATACCTTACTAACCCAGGATACCTGCTTAGATACTGACCAAAAGATTTGCCAATTTGAAGCACGCCCCAATGTAGATTTGAGGACCATTGTTGTCTATACCGGAAAGGGATGTGCATGTTTAAGGGCACTGTGTGACACAATAACCATAGATGGGTGAGAGAAGAAACTGATACATCATCTAAATTATTGTATTTGTAATTTCACCATCATCCTGGGGTGCGATTTCACTTATTCTGCCCCAGTAGTTACACATTCCCTCTTGAAAAGCAGCCTCAGGGTAAAGGTACTTCCTGTCCCCATAGGGTTAAATGTCAGTCATATAGAAAGCCTATTAAAACACCCAGACTTACATTGGATACTGGAAGAAGTTAAGGAAAAAGGGCAAGAAACTTTACTCACAACCTTTCATGATGGGGAAAGGATAAAAAAGGTCTTAAAGATGGTTGAGCAGGAAGGGAAATATAATTGGTGAGATACACTCTTCGGATGGTCGCCGACAACTACTGGAATCTTAAACACAGCCCTTCACCCAGTGGTTGCTTTATTAATATCTGTAGCAATCTTGTTAATCCTTACTGTAGCTATATATGTATGGATCTTACAAAACGCTTGCAAGCTATGTATGACACTTTATATCACAATCCAAGCTTTAAGCAATAAACTAACTAATTTGTAGGATAGTACTAACATATTATAGTACAAGGGAAATAGATTAAGTAGTAGGTTAAGTAGTAAAAGAATTTACTAAGTAAGAAGAAAAGGGGGGAATGAGACAGGGAGTCTAAACAATCTTAGATTGTTGGTGCAAGGCCTGCGCAAAAACAAGGGGAGGCGTATGGGACTGTTCGAAAAGACATACCAAGCACTGATAATGTTGCTAGGCGGTTAACTCCTAGCCCAAAGAGAAGTCCCTCCTAGTCTTTGAAAAACAGACAACCCCAAAACATTGGCCTGGAAGAAAGCCAGACAACAACTGAGGCTGCGCAGAGCGACAGGGAGAAAAGTTCATCAGCGAAGAAGAAGAGGAGACCTGATTACCATGAGAAGCGAGGGGAGGCAGGGGTAGACTATGTATATGTATAGGCGTTTTATGAATATGCACTATTTTGTAACATATAAGCCGGACG